CAGGGTCTAGGTGCGCACGCACCTTAGAGACACTCGAAAGATTGTGGCATTTGTTCACGCATTGAAACACACCAGAATATGTTCGCTTATAACTGAGACGCTCCACGGCTGGCAATTGGTAGTGCTTGACGACCGCTGAACAGTCCGAGTGCCCTTCTGCTGGGCCATCTGTCTGCAAGCTGGCCATGCCTAAAGCAACAAATTCAGCTGCAGGCGCGCTCTGAGGCAGCGGAGCGCGCACAGGGCCGAAGACAGACGACAAGAGGCAGCCTGCAGCATCGACCCTGCTCACGCCCCAGCCCGCTCTACAGAGGTCAGCAATCGGGTTCCTGAAACACGAGCCATCATAAAACAGCTTACCAGCCATGTCCCCGTCTTCTCCTTCACGAAAACCGTCCGATCTGATCTCCGCCCCTCCCGACGCGAGCGGAGCAGGCCAGACAACGCACGGGTGCTCGAAAACTCCACGACAGAACAAGAGGCGATCACCATCAGACAGATCGGACAACGCTTGATCTCGAATTGAGGCCTTGACGATCTCCTCCCGTTCGTCCTGGCAGGCAGAGCAGGTCCACAACCTGTGATGCATAGTATCGCGCTCCATGCCACACAGTGGGCAAAGAAGTCGCTCTTCAGGCAAATCATATCCAAGGCTCGCAGCGCGATCTGCGGTCCAAACTCCATTGCAAGCAAGATTACGAATGCATCCTTGGCCCAGTGCCGAATACTTCTTGCTGCCAGCCTGAGCACGCACTATGTCCATGCAAAGTCTGTCCCATCCCGTCTCCCACTTCTCGGCAAGGCTGCACTCTAACAAACGAACACACTGTTTGCGAGCGAGGTCTTCGAAGGGGGTGGGGCTGACGAAGGTGAGGAGGATATCAACTCCGTCATGGTCTCTGATGGTGGCAAAATTAGGCATGGTCCATTTAAGCCTCTTGAGCGATAAATAAAGCGTCGAGACAGGCCCAGAGACCTCGGACCATTTGGTGATGTTGGCTCCTTCCTCGAAAACCAGAGGCCATGCACGGTTCAACTCGGACATCGGGATGGAGTAGAGGAAAGAATGACACTGACCTGCCCAAACCTCCTTGCCCCACCGAGTGATAGGCGCACACGCTCCGTACCAGCAGGGATCGTTCTCCATCGCCAAGGCAGCCGCGAGCGACCTGTTCCCGCTGGACGGCCTTCAACATTCGCCAGCAGCCACACGAATGGTCTGCAGCTCTCTGTCGCTCACACCATGGACCTCGGACCCGTAAAGCAAACCAGGTAAAGGACCAGACACAAACAACTTGGTAACAGATCTCCCCAAGAAACGCTTTTGTCGGGCAATACGGCGAACTCTGTTTTGAAAAACTTTGGCTCGGCGACGCTGCCCGGGGTTGCGGCCTCTATACCTCCGAGTCTTTCCAGCAGCGTCATCGATCCCAAGATTAACAGCCGTGCTACTGGTACCTGGCCCAGCGAACTTACCGAGCCACTCCTGCAAACATCTTCCCAGCTTGGGGCAACTGGCAATGACCCCCGCTTTGTCGGGAGCAACTTCACACTGCAGCTCGTCCA